ATCCATCCCAGGCCACAAGACACCACAAAAATAGGCCTTTGGTTTTCCACTAAGCATTCTCCTTACCTGAAATGGGTTAGTAACACACCCGTGAGCTATAAAGCTTGTAAGAACATATTTACACAATTTACAAGTTTGCCACGGTTCAAACACAAATATTTCAAGTTTCAAGCATAACTGTTCATGTTCAAAAGCCCAATGGCTGAAAAGACAAAATGAATGCTCTTATATATATATCAAAATATACATACATATATCTATTCGACTGGATATGTTGCCAGAGAAGTAGGGAGCTACCCATACTAATATCAAGTGGTCAAGATCATGCCAAAGGACGATGGCCGTGTCCCAACAACCACCCTTATAACGCCTCACCCGTTGGAATCTTTAATTTTCCCCAACGTCCGGGATGTTCCGTTCGAATGTATGCTATTACATTTGCAAGAGTTTTATAACAATGTCTTAACCATGGCTTCACAAAAACATTATGTATATAAGCAATACGTTTGAGTCGGCTTATCCCGTTAGCTCACGTTTTCTAAAACATAACATGATTTTCAATATGTATTCAAGGTACTTTTCCAATCATAGGCATACTTGCTAAAGTTCAAAATCATATGTTTATTCGGTTATTCATAAATCAATGCAATCTCATGCTCCAAAATAATTCATCAATCAAAGCATGTCATTATATTCAAATACATGTAAAAAGCGTAAGCATGAACTCACCTAAATGTACACGAAGTTTGGTAAAATCAACCAGAATCGAGATCTAAACACAACGTATGAAAAACTACATTATAGTAGGTCTAGGAATTAATTCTAAGCATGAAATAAATATTCAAACCATAATCCCAAAGTGTACAATTTAAAAGGGGTCCTTCTCTTATGGTCCAGAAATTCTTAGTTTGCAGCACTTTAGATTAGAGGCTAAAATCCTAATCAAAACACTTTAAAACATTCTGTAATTTTACAAGGTTATCAATCAAGATGTTATGAAACTTTTTCATGGAGGACTCGTCTCCCAAAAATGCTCATAAACAGGGTAAAATGGCAGTAAAACAAAGCTGGTCTAGATCCGTTGCAGTTTCTAAAACAAATCATTTCAACAACAATCTAGCCGTTGGATCAAGTTGAAACAATTGGGTTGGAAAGATAACACTCTAATTTAACTCTGGTCCAAATATCAACCGTTAAAGTGGCCTAAATATGTTTTGACGAATTTTCAAAGTAGACTGTCTGTTCAGGAAAAAAAAAACGTTTGTTGCGTAAAATCCTTGTTTTGAGCTTTAGCCTCATGGTTCATTGCAATATGATATCAATGGAAGGAAAGAAAGTCTAAATCTGTATTTTAGCATTTAGATTCATGGTTCATTGTAACATGAAATCAAAGGAAAGAAATGAAGGCTTTAACCTATGGAATTGAAGTAGATATAGAGAGGAATTTACCTAGACTTGAAGCTTGAAGAACAAAGATGAAAGTGTTTGATTTCCTCTCTTAAATCTACAGATTTTTAGCAAGAAGATGAAGTTTCTGCACATATAGGATATATATAGGAAGAAAGGGGTAGGTAGGATCAACGGCTAGGATTGAATGGTGAAGTATGTGGTAAAAAGTGGAGTGATGTGGATATATCTTTCACCTCACCAAGAAATTACAGCCATGGTGGCTGCTTTTACCACCACAAATTGCACTGCTCAGATAAAACGCAGTGCGCGGACATCCGGGCTGTCCGAAAATCGGTTCAAGAAAAATTCCATTTAATCACTGTTGACTAATTTTGACATTGTGAGTTCGATGGTGTGATCCGTTTCGCCTAAAGAAAAAATATATATATATACATCTTTATGAGTTTCATTTTTGACACACTCAAAGAGGATTATCAATTATTGTTCTGTTATAGATCCGCCCCGGATGGCGAAGTATAGATGATATTTATTAACATGACATTGATGAACTTATTAAATATGAGATGTGACCTCCGTTCATTGACGGTGTCAAACAAAAGGCGAAAAGTTGGGTCGAGTCTTCACATCTTTCCCACCTTAAGAAGTTTGGTCCTCCAAACTTGACCAAAGTACTACAGTAACGTGTTATAAAAAAAAAAAACATTACCTTCTTCAAAAATATGCAGGTAGAGAGTTTAGATATCCTTCTCTTTTTCCCAAGTAGCCTCTCCGTTAGCATTATTGTCCCACCAGACCTTCACTAGAGGTATGACTTTGTTTCGCAATTGCTTCACCCTTCTGTCCATGATACGAATGGGCTTTACAATGTAAGTCAGATTCAGTTGTACTTCAGCTGACTTAGGCACTCGAACATGTGATGTGTCTGGCACATAAGGTTTTAGCATCGAGCTATTAAAGACGTCATGAACACCTGCGAGCTTCGGTGTTAATGCGAGTCGATATGCTACAGTTCTGACACGCTCAGTGATTCTGAAAGGTCCTACGAACCTTGGATTCAATTTTCCTTGCTTCCCAAATCGAACGACCCCTTTCAGAGGTGAAATCTTCACAAATGCTGAGTCTCCTATATTGAGATCAAGATTCCTCTTTCCGCTATCCGCATAACTTTTCTATCTATCTTGAGCTATCTTCAGGCGGTCCTGGATGAGCTTGATCTTCTCTGTTGTTTCCTCAATGATGTTTGGTCTGATTTTCTTTTCCATGATCTGTTTCTCCCTGACCTCAAGCCAACATACTGGCGATTTACATTTCCTTCCATATAAAGATTCATAAGGTGCCATCCCGATACTCGCCTGGTAACTATTATTGTAGGCGAACTCTACTAAAGGTATGTACTCTTCCCAACTGCTTCGAAAATCCATCACACAGGCTCTAAGCAAGTCTTCTAGCGCCTGAATGGTTCGCTCAGATTGTCCATCAGTCTGCGGATGAAATGTTGTACTGAGGTTCAGCTTTGTTCCCATGGCTCATTGAAAGCTACTTCAGAAATCTGACACAAATCTCGGGTCTCGGTTGGACACAACAGATACAGGTACTCTATATAGTCTAATTATCTCTGCGAGGTAGATGTAGGCATAACGGTCGACTGAGAACGTCTTTTTGACTGGCAGAAAATGAGCTGACTTTGTCAATCGATCGACGATCATCCATATCATGTTGTTTCCTTTCGGTGTGCGTAGTAGTCCTGATACAAAGTCCATCGTGATGTGCTCCCACTTCCATTCAGTTATAGGTAAAGGTTAAAGTAGTCTTGCTGGCTTTTGGTGTTCTACTTTTATCTGCTGACACTGGAAACAACTCCTTACATATTTTGCTATCTCTCTCTTCATTCCCCTCCACCAATATACAGTCTTTAAGTCTTGATACATCTTGGTGATCCCTAGATGAATTGCAAGTCTGGACTTGTGACCGTCATCCAAAATTTAGCGTTTGACCTCTTCTATGGCCGGGACACAGACTCTACCTCGAAATTTCAGAATTCCATTGGTAACTGTGAAATCTGGATATGGTTCTGTTTCTAGTCCATCTCGAACTTTTTTCAACTCTGGATCCTCCTTCTGTCTTTGTCTGATCATTTCAGTTATAGCAGGTTGAGCAACTATGGCGTTGCACGTGGTAATCGATCCTGGAATTATCACTTCCAATTCTATTTGATCTATCTCTTCTAAAAGTGTTGGTTGCGTAGTGAGTAAGCAATTTATCCTTCCTGTCAATTTCCTGCTCAGAGCGTCTGCTACCACGTTAGCTTTTCCTGGGTGGTATTGAATGTTGACATCGTAATCTTTGATTAGTTCTAACCACCGGTGTTGCCTTAAGTTAAGCTCCTTCTGGGTAAAGATGTACTTTAGGCTTTTATGATCAGTGTAGATTTCGCACGATACTCCATACAAGTAGTGTCTCCAGATTTTCAAGGCAAAAATTACCGCAGTGAGCTCCAGGTCATGAGTTGGATAGTTCCTTTCGTGTGTATTCAGTTGTCGTGAGGCGTAGGTGATGACTTTCCCACGTTGCATTAAAATACATCCTAAGCCTTGTCGTGACGCATCGCTGTAGATTGCATATCCATCGACGCCGTCAAGAAGGATAAGGATCAGTGTTAAAACCAATCTCTTCTTCAAGTCCTAGAAACTCTGCTCTCGTTTTTCGGTCCAAACGAACGATGTGCCTTTTCGTGTTAGCTCAGTCAATGGCACGACAATCCTTGAAAAATCTTGCACGAATTTGTGGTAGTAGCCAGCTAATTCCAGAAAACTTCTAACTTCAGTCATGGTGATGGGTCGAGGCCAATTGACAATTGCTTCGATCTTTTGTGGGTACACTGAAACTCGATCCTTACTGATGACGTGTCCTAAGAATATGACACTATCTAACCAGAATTCACATTTCTTGAACTTGGCGTAGAGCTTTCGCTCCTTTAGCATCTGTAGAACCTTTCGTAAGTGTTCTGCATGTTGTTTTTCATCCTTGGAGTAAATCAGTATATCGTCGATGAAAACGATGACAAACTCGTCCAAGAACAGCTTGAATACACGATTCATCAAGTCCATAAACGCAGCAGGTGCATTGGTCATGCCAAAAGGCATCACAAGAAACTCGTAGTGACCGTAACGAGTACGAAAAGCTGTCTTTCCTATGTCCTTGGTTTTCACCTTCAGTTGATGGTACCCCGACCGTTTTCGAAAATACACATGCGCCTTGCAGCTGATCAAACAACTCATCGATTCGAGTAGTGGGCACTTATTCTTTATTGTAACCTTATTTAGTTCCCAGTAATCAATACATAACCTCATTGTTCCATCTTTTTTCTTAACAAAAAGGACAGGTGCTCCCCATGGGGACGAGCTCGGTCTAATCAAACCCTTGACAAGTAACTCTTGTAATTGAACTTTCAGTTCTTTCAATTCAGCTGGGGCCATCCGATACGGAGCTTTGGAGATCGGTTGCGTACCAGGTGCAACTTCAATAGAAAACTCAATCTCCTGATCTATTGGCATTCCAGGTAGATCCTCCGGAAAGACTTTCAAAAATTCTCAAACCACAGGAATAACAGATATCTTCGTATCTTCTACTGGTGACGACGAGATGCTGTACAAAAACCCATGACAACCCTTCCTCAGAAGTCGTCGGGCTTGAGCCGTGGATACTAAATACGGAGGTAGAACTATGCCAACCCCCGTGAAACAAAAGTCCACATGACCCGGGATTCGAAACTCAACACACTTATGTGCACAGTCAATAATGGCGTTGTTGGCAGACAGCCAAGCCATGCCAAAGATAACGTCGAAGTGACCCATCTCCATGAGAATCAAGCCGACTGTCAGATGATTATTATCGAAACACACATCACAATTTCTATGTACAGTTGAGCAACAAATACTGCCACTCATGGGCTGAGAAACAATCAAATCATAACCAAGGGGTTTGGGTTTCTTAGGTAGTCTCATGGCAAAATGCGATGCAGTGAATGAATGTGTTGATCCGGAATCTATAAGAGCATAAGCCGATAATGAACAGTAAAACAAGTTACCTGCAACTACCATTTCTGTGTTCTGCATGTCTCCTGGTATTAAGGCAAAAGCTCTGCCTTGTCGTTGATTGCTCACTAAGTTTGGTTCTGCCCCAGTTGCCTGCACCATGTTTCTCTCTAGTGGTACCGCATTCGCTCCAGTTCGCACCAATTTAGGACAATTCATTTTCATGTGTCCCCCATCACCACAGTTAAAGCAAGTTCTAATAGCTTTGCGACATTCTCCTGAATGAAAGCTACCGCAAGTGTTACACTTAGGCACCTTGTTGCCCCGATTGTCATTCTGCCTCCCAACATTGGATGGTCCCGCATTCTGTTTTTTGGGAGGAAAATCACTTGACTTCTTCCCATAAAAGTTGTCAAAACGACGTTTTTTCTTCTCAGTGAACTTCTTTCTGCTGTTGACATTCTTCCCCACGATCATGGCATGATCAACTATGTCAGCGTATGTAACCAATCGCATTGGCAGTATGACATCACGGATGTCGGGATGGAGTCCCTCTTTGAACCTTCGAGCTTTTAGATTTTCTGTGCTAATCAACTGTTTCCCGTACTGTGATAGCTTGGTGAATTCTGCTTTGTATTCAGTCACTGACATCTGTCCCCACTGCTTCAGTCGATAAAACTCCACACACTTTGCATCCTGGACGGACTGAGGTATGTATTTCTCTCGAAAGACGACCAGAAATCGATCCCAAGTCACTGTCGGCTCAGTCTCTTCCTTCATCTCCCAACATTGCTGAGCTTCTCCTTGCAGTAAATATGTGGCTAGTCCAACTTTCTGGGTTTCTGTACAATGCATAACTATAAATATCTTTCTTAGCTCTGCGACCCAAGCATCAGCCCTTTCGGCGTCTATTCCTCCCGGGAAGGTTGGAGGTTTCAGCTTCAAGAATTTCTTCAAGTTGAGATCTTCCCGTTGAGGTTGTGCCACATTCCCCAACTGTGGGCCCTGGGCATTGTTAGTCGGTTGTTGTTGTACTTGAGGTGGTGGTGGAATTACTTGAGGTGGGTTCTGTGGAGGTGGTGGTTGTTGCCTTTCAGCTTGGGCTGCCGTGAAGAATTGCTCAATCATTCTTTCTAACTGATCGAGACGGCTTGAGTCGCTAGCTTTAAGAGCTCTCGCAAGGTTCCCTCGAGTGTTCATCCTAAAATTCAACGTGTTACTACTAAGGTGGAATTTCGACGAGTCATAACTTGTATTGTATCATATAGATAAGGAAGTTGGAAACGAGAAACGTATAACAAAGGAGAGCCATCATAACTATGCATCCATTTATATATTTGTACATATATCCATGAGTTGATGTACACATGGTCAACTTTACATGGTGGTTACAAAATATGGTATTATGTTAGAATAGCGCAATTACCAAAAACACTTAAGCGCCACAAAGCCCAAAACTAGTTTGCCAACATCTCAAAAGGCATCAAAACTAATCTAGACTGAACATGTTAGCATCAACGCCTCTATTACATACAAAATATAAGTATAGTTGCCCAGCCTATATTCCCTCCCCTCACCAGGACTAACTAGTTGTCAGTCCATTCGACTCATCGCAAGACTCAACGTCATAAACCTCAGGTTCGTTGGGGTTGAACTTAGGTTCTTCCTCAGGTTCTTCTTCAGGGTCTTCTTCTATGTCATCCTCCATTCCATCTTCAGCAAGATCCTTAGGTTCATGAACTATGGAGACCACAGGTGCCACTTCTGGTACTATTTGATCTCTCCCGTTTCCATTAGCTTCCACGTGGTCAACTTCTTCTCTGAAGAACACTGGGTCATTACTAAACGCGAGCACTTCTTGCCAAATTTGCATGTGGATACAAACATGGTGAATAACTACCGCCCTCTTCATCTCTGGAGTGAAAAGAACTTCCTCTTGGCTAACGAAAGCAATTTGGTTATAAAAGTGTTGACGTGCTTCACGGGGGACTTCCTAATTGTGACCAGCTAGGTCTCGCGGTTCGACCCCCCAATGGCCCTACTGAGCCTCGCTCAATCGATACCCTCCAAACTTGTCATAGCGAAGGATATGCCCCATGTCGTCCAGTACACACAAGACGTAAATCTTGTAAGTACCGGACCCAAGGCAAATATATGGGTAAGGAGGAAAACTATAGTAACTTAAGGCTGTAGTAAAGTTTCTTAAAGTATCTACCCCAAACAGGTCGCCGAATGAGACACTTAAACATGTAGCATGCATTACGTGTCGTAGTGCAAGTGTCTTAGTGCTCTGTGGATTTAAGGTTCTCTAAACCTACAGCTCTGATACCAAGTTGTCATGACTCGAAATAGGGGCTAATCAGAATCACAACCGACCAGCACATCATCTCGCACCCTAGGCCTATTACTAACTAGTTTAGAGAACAAATAAATAAATCATCGCAAATACTAAGTGATTACATTTAACTAAAGCGTTGCTATATAAGTCATAAAAGTCATAAAGAAAAGTTAAGTTACAACAATAACTTGGCCCTATGCCAACAAAAGAGGTAATACATGACTTATATAAAACTATAAGTCTAGAATCCATCCCAGGCCACGAGACACCACAAAAATAGGCCTTTGGTTATCCACTAAGCATTCTCCTCACCTGAAATGGGTTAGTAACACACCCGTGAGCTATAAAGCTTGTGAGAACATATTTACACAATTTACAAGTTTGCCACGGTTCAAACACAAATATTTCAAGTTTCAAGCATAACTGTTCATGTTCAAAAGCCCAATGGCTGAAAAGACAAAATGAATGCTCTTATATATATATATATCAAAATATACATACATATGTCCATTCGACTGGATATGTTGCCAAAGAAGTAAGGAGCTACCCATACTAATATCAAGTGGTCATGATCATGCCAAGGGACGATGGCTGCGTTCCAACAACCACCCTTATAACGCCTCACTCGTTGGTATCTTTAATTTTTCCCAACGTCTGGGATGTTCCGTTCGAATGTACATTATTACATTTGCAAGAGTTTTATAACAATGTCTTAACCATGGCTTCATAAAAACAATATGTATATAAGCAATACGTTTGAGTCGGCTTATCCCGTTAGCTCACGTTTTCTAAAACATAACATGATTTTCAATATGTATTCAAGGTACTTTTCCAATCATAGGCATACTTGCTAAAGTTCAGAATCATATGTTTATTCGGTTATTCATAAATCAATGCAATCTCATGCTCCAAAATAATTCATCGATCAAAGCATGTCATTATATTCCAAATACATGTAAAAAGCGTAAACATGAACTCACCTAAATGTACATGAAGTTTGGTAAAATCAACCGGAACTGAGATCTAAACACAACGTATGAAAAACTACGTTATAGTAGGTCTAGGAATTAATTCTAAGCATGAAATAAATATTCAAACCATAATCCCAAAGTGTACAATTTAAAAGGGGTCATTCTCTTATGGTCCAGAAATTCTTAGTTTGCAGAACTTTAGATCAAAGGCTAAAATCCTAATCAAAACACTTTAAAATATTCTGAAATTTTACAGGGTTATCAAACAAGGTGTTATGAAACTTTTTCATGGAGGACTCGTCTCCCAAAAATGCTCATAAACAGGGTAAAATGGCAGTAAAACAAAGTTGGTCCAGATCCGTTGCAGTTACTAAAACAAATCATTTCCACAACTATCTAGCCGTTGGATCGAGTTGGAACAAATTGGTTTTGAAAGATAACACTCTAATTTAACTCTGGTCCAAAAATCAATCGTTAAAGTGGTCTAAATAGTTTTTGACGAATTTTCAAAGTAGACTATCTGTTCAGGAAAAAAAAATGTTTGTTGGGTAAAATCCTTGTTTTAAGCTTTAGCCTCATGGTTCATTGCAACATGATATCAATGGGAGGAAATAAAGTGTAAATCTGTATTTTAGGATTTAGATTCATGGTTCATTGTAACATGAAATCAAAGGAAAGAAATGAAGGCTTTAACTTATGGAATTGAAGTAGATATAGAGAGAAATTTACCTAGACTTGAAGCTTGAAGAACAAAGATGAAAGTGTTTGATTTTCTCTCTTAAATCTACAGATTTTCAGCAAGAAGACGAAGTTTCTGCACATATAGGATATATATAGGAAGAAACGGGTAGGTAAGATTAATGGCTTGGATTGAATGGTGAAGTATGTGGTAAAAAGGGGAGTGATGTGGATATATCTTTCACCTCACTAAGAAATTACAGCCATGGTGGCTGCTTTTACCACCACAAATTGCACTGCTTGGATAAAACGCAGTGCGCGGACATCTGGGTTGTCCGAAAATCGGTTTAAGAAAAATTCCATTTAATCACTGTTTACTAATTTCGACATTCTAAGTTCGATGGTGTAATCCGTTTTGCCTAAAGAAAAATAAAATAAAATATATGCATCTTTATGAGTTTCATTTTTGACACACTCGAAGAGAATTATCAATTATTGTTCTGTTATAGGTCTGCCCCGGATGGCGAAGTATAGATAATATTTATTAACATGACATTGATGAACTTATTAAATATGAGATGTGACCTCCGTTCATTGACGGTGTCAAACAAAAGGCGAAAAGTTGGGTCGGGTCTTCACACTTTACATTTTAACATTTACATGTACTGATTTTCTTTTCCCGATTGTTTTAACTTTCTTAACCATCTTTTCCACCTTATGGTGTGCAATTAAAATTGGGTCGACAAATTACTGCACAGATTTATATTTGATGACGTCTTTGACTTTTTAATAAACAAGTTTTATGTCATAATGCAGGTGACTTTGTTCGCAAGAGGAAACGCTTCCATCACCCAACAATTGCCTGGTGAATCAGAAAAGGATTATGCTGATTTTTCTTCCAAGGTTATTAATTATGACATATACACTAGAAAATTCTATTGGCCTTTTTGATTAGTTTCTTATTTTTCTTTGTTGAGGAATGAAATATTGTATTCTAAGTGTAGATCTTGCACTGGAAAGGAGACATGAAGGACTTTGAATTTGTGAAAGCCAGTCTCTCAGCCAAAGGCTTTGATGTTGTTTATGATATTAATGGTATGCATTGCAATAAATTTTTGCTCCTTGTGCAATCCACACAGTGTGTCCTATCTATGTGTTTATTTTAGACTTGTTAATTATGTTCTAGTTTTTGTTATAAAATTTGGAGTGTTTATATTGTTTCAATTGTTCTAGTTAATTACTTTGATAGCCTTCTTAATATCATATATGGAGTTTGTGGTGTTACATTGATTGGGTATTGTCATTCCCGTCTTGTTCATCATCTATGGCCAGTCTTTTACCTTTTAATCTTAGAAAAGTAAATTACTAAAGTTAAAATTTGTGTGTGATAATTCTTTCAGGATATGGTTTGTGACACATTCTTGAAAATTGTTCAGAAGTGCAAGCGTAAATTTGTTATTGTACAAGTAACATTATTTTAATCTTGTTGGTCAAATGTCAATTTTCTATATTGAATATAACTTTGAATGTGTCATGCTTGTCTTCTATTGTTTCCAGTTTAGAGAAAGTGAACCATTTGTATCTAACAAGCCTTCCTACAACTATAGATGATTTTGAGCCCCATCAGATTCATTCATTTTATGAATCAATATGTTTCCCCAATGTTAGACTGTATGAAGGGTGGTTGTGAAGTAACAATTGTTGTTCTACTGTTTTAGGTCGGCAATATGATTCAAGCAGAATCTGATCCTCAGAATAGGGATGAATATTTGAAGAGGTTGATGGAGCTTCCAAATCAGGCAAGCTTACATAAAAAGTGCTACTACATCCAGGAATACATTTGCATATGTTCAAGCCCATGCTAGTCTCTGTGGTGGCTAGTGGCTTATGGTTTCATTTTTCTGTGCAGAAATGGATTGAAATTATAGGATAGGCACGCCATAGTGTGGATTTCTTGAAAGATCAAGATGTAATCAGGAATGTCCTTAATATATTGCAGGTATGTTTTACGACTAAGACAATTTTTCTTGAGTCAATGAAATTACATTATTTGCTGTACTTCTAGAACTTGGTTCTCTCATGAGATGGAGCATTATTTTTTCTAAGCTTCTTCTTCTTCTTCTTCTTCTTCTTCTTCTTCTTCATCATTTATCTATTTAGTTATTTTCTTTGGGGGTGGGGTGGGTATTCTGTGTGTGAGTTGATGTGAAACT